TCAAGAGAATCAAATTTCAAGCAAATAGTTTACTATATATAATAGTTTTGACAACTAGATTCATTAAAAGTGGCGTACTGACGAATGCGAGTAATGATGCCTGTCTAATGACCCGATCACTTGTGACTCTCTGTTACATCCAAACTTTATGAATGGAGATAAGTTTAATTATTATTATTTATACTAGCATCGCCGATATAACCTGGAAAGCATTGAATTAAAAATTATATAATAATAATAATAATAATAATAATAATAATAATAATAATAATAATAATTATAATAATAATAATAAATAATAATAATAATATTATATAACATGAAAAGCATTGAATTGAAAACTACATATTACATAATTATGATAATAATAACAAATAATAATAATGTAATAATAATAAAAAAAATTGTACTTTTGTATAGTGACGCTACTGTCAATATTATTATTATTATTTGCCTGTTATCTTAATATTAACATTGTTAATATTATGAATAATACTATAGATTTTACTTTTTTTATATTTACTTAAATTAAGAAACAATAATTATTGAATATACTAAAACTCTATTATACACTTTAAAGTCGGTCAGGAGCATTTTAATTCTTCGTAATTACACACAAAAGAGAACGTTTTGTGTAATTACGAAGACGGATATGCCGTCTTCGTAATAATCCGAAAGAGAATATTTTGTAAAAGATGATATATTAATATTTATAAAATAATTCTAAAAAAACTCTCCCTATATCTCAGTAGCCTACAATATGCTAATTGGTCAGCCCTGCCGGTCATCTCATCATGACCTTCGCCATGGCGAACGGTGAGTAGGTCTGGATCCGCGCCTGCGAGCCATTTTCGCTGGAAATATATCTTATATCAGCTGGTTTACATTATTATATCCGTCATTGTAAACATTGACTTCAACGACACGTGATATTAGATGTTATTTTAAAATCGATATTGAACAATAATTATATTGATATACTGATACTAAATACATCCATCATTATTATACATTCGATTATTATCATAGAGGGCTTTACAATATGTGCTTTATAAATCTGAAATTCTTCTTCTTATTATTATTATTATTATAAGACAATTTACGTCACTGCATTTTAAGTCATTCGTCGTATTTGTAATTTTTCTCCACGATGTTTGAATTAACACAATTCGTTGATGAAGCAGACATATTCTGTATTAATTCTGAATTTCTTTTATTTAAATAATATTGCTTCGCTCAGCCTTTATGGATTGTGCGTAATATTTTAATATCTTAAGTGAATTAAGTGGTTTTAGTATAGCTTATTTTGCCCAATTTCAACCCAGGTTGGATCTATTCATTCAACATTTGACAGAACAGCAAATAACGCTCTCTTCGGTCACAACCCTGCCATACCTGTCACCATTGTAAGTATGAAACTCTGAATCCGCCCCTGGGACCCAACACTTGGATCCAGCGTAAACTCTTCACATTCCTTACTGTACTACACCTGATAAAGGTAAAGATTAAAAAGCAACACATCTATCCGGAGGGTGTCATCTGCAACAGCTAGCTTAAAAGAGGGTAGTTCATCAAGTCCTGCATTAAGACAGCTATGTTGTCTTTTAAAAAAAAGCTGCGTCAACGACGTAAAGTTGCGTCAGTTAACCTTTGTTTGCGTTCGAATTTGAGTTAGAGAATATACTCACGGTTAAAATGCAAACGCAGGCTTAAATAATGTAAACGGTCCCGTCTTTCTCTTATTCCGGCCGAATGATCAAATTTATAAAATACAAAATCCTTACCACCTTTTGCGAATGGTTGTGTTTGGTGTATGTTGTACGTGTTTAAGCTCTGCGGTTTCATATTAGTAAATTTTAGTTCTGACCGTATTTTAGCCATGACGTATGACACTAACGGTGACTCAAAACTTTCCTATAGGCCTAAAGCTTAGAAAAGTAAAATAAAAAATGGGGGAAGAGAAAAATACAGTCAAATTAAAGCCTGAGTGCGATTTTCGGCCATTTAGAACTGCCGTAGACATACAAATTCGTACCTCACACCCCAACCATGGTGGGGCTAAAGTAGTCTAGACCCTTCATCTATAAAAAATACCTTTCTGGGCTTCTTTCCGCCACTGTTGCTCACCAACCCAAACCCTTTATTTCCACCCTCTCATACACTTTCGCATTCAACATATTAACGTTTGTAGTGAATCCGGTGGTAAGGGGCAGGGGTGGAATGCGATGGATGGTATTCATAATAAATTTGGCCGGCACAGAAAATAGCAAAATCTATTTGAGGCCAGGCCAAAGAATACAAATAATACTTTGTCGAAGGCGCATCATGATGGGGTATAGTATTTAGCAAGCATTAGGCTAGACCGAATAAGAGGACGGTAGTGTCTTAGCTTAGTGCTTGAGATGCTTGCCTTCGAATGTCAGTCGCTTCGAGTGTACTGGTCCATACAACCCCTGTTGTGGACAGGCGAGAGTAGCTGGTAAGCTATACCGTACTGGTTTACCCGCGGACAGTTCACACACGAAGAAACCCTTAGGGGAGAAGAAAGTTACTGTGTATGAGCTACGATACTGCAGTCGACGCTTCACCGCTCTAATCTTTTATGAAATAACGCTATATCAATGATGTTATGTATGGAAATCAGGATACTACGTTCAAGTTTTGTGGTGGGGTGCGACTGGGTGGGGGGTGCGAAATTTTATTAGGGGAAAGGGCGTCACCTGTGCTATTTGTATTGTATGCTAATAGCTTTAAAAACCGCATTTAACTGAGCATGCTAATGATTTCGAGTTACCCAGTATGACACACAATTTTTGGAGCCATGTAAGAGTCTATCATGACCTAAATAAACTGAATGGCATCCAAAAATTATGAATATAGGGCCCTAATTACGCGAGCGTAAAATAATTCACAATGACGTCAAGACTGTCCCAGATTACTCGTCATCGTGAACTAAAACTTACTACTAGAAATAGAGTTTGATGACTAGCGTAGGAGTAATACCCATTACGTTTGGTTCAAAACGCGTCAAAGTTGTCGTGTGAGAACAAAATCTTTATATTATAGTTCTTGCCGGCTGAATACTTACATAAGCTAAATAATCGGGAAAAAACCCCCAAATTATTTTGAACCTGAAATTCACTCTTAGGCGTGCACATCCACCTATTCTCTATAACTTGCAATGCAAACGCACACATCCGGCCACCAATTCTCTCTCACACATTTAATAAGGCAAACCGAACCGAGAGGCCGACTAGATTTGGTCAGGGTCCCCGGAATAAAAAAAATCTCAAGTAGGGTTCATGGTGAGAGCTTTTATCTTTTATGTGCTTCACAATTGACCATTTATACCACTATTTTAGGGATTGAAAAAAAAATAACGCTATAGGAAAATTAACATTTGGGGTGGTTGGGTGGTCCAAGCCTGTCCGACGGACGGGGAAGGGGAACTTTTACCTGACCCCCTTTCGTTGGCACCACCAATGATCTAGTAGGAAATACGCTTCTAGACATTTCGTTATTTATAAAGAAAATTGTATATGAAAATATATTAACACTGTTTGAAATAATTCACAAGAAAAGTCCAAGAAACAAAGAGAATAATTTAGATTTATACACATCATGGACATACAATATAATATATAACAGTCCTCTACGTCGAACACAAGTGCCTCACAATGCACTGACACTGAAAAATCTTGCCCCTACGGTACTCAGTAGCCTTATTCACGCTTATTATTATAATTTAATGATTCAATCTAATGATTGATTGGCGCTTCCACCAATGTTATCCTCAACATCAATTGTGATAATAAAAATAATGAATAATCATAATAATAATTATTACATTATATCAATAATAATGATATTAATAATAATATTAAAAATTATAACAATGACAATATTTGTATACTTCATCGTTTTTATCTATAGATTGACAATAACTTTACGATTCGTAACAGCACCAAATAGACATATTGGTATCATGAATTATAGGCATAGGTACAAACATTACACGTCGTTGAATATTTGTTTATGATCCATTCCTAATTAATATCACAGATAGGCCTACTAATATTATCTGTGGTTATATGAAATCTACTTGAAAGTATTTTCTGTTGAGTTATCGATTAATTCAGTAGGCACTGTTAGTAGTCACGGAGGACAATTGGTGAAATGCGAATGCAATAAAGAGGACATTATCCAACCCATACTATCTCTTTTAGACCAATAAGTGACCGAGAAACACAAATGAGGAGGATAGTTTACACGTGATCTATTAGATTAATGTATGTACTTTAAATATACGATCACCTATATAGCATGTTGCACACGTACTTACTAATGCACTTTTGTCTTCTAGATAGAATTTTAATTCATTATTTGCTACATCTAATTGGATTGGTTCGAAGTCGAAGTCACATCAAAAGTGTCATAGGCCTATGTGACGCGAGAACTACTCTCAAAACACTTTTTATCTTGACTATCTTATTCTAGCCACTTATGTAGACATACGGTAATAGCATTGAATTATTGTAAACAGTTCATGTAGTGAGTACTCGATTTATTCAAAATACGCACTAGTCCGGATTTCAACTGTTTCCGGTCAGTGGCGTAACAAAGGGTCCGAAGGCCCCTGGGCAGGACCCCAGATCCTGGGGGCTAAGGGCCGCGAAGGGTCCCCGATGGGGGTCTAGGCGCTCTGACGTTTTTAGCGTTTTATGCCGTATTTTAATGCCTTTTTACATTTTTTACCTTTTATATGTATCGTTATTTGACCCCAAAAAAGCATACTTAATTTTAACGAAGATATCACTAATATATAAACATGTTACAATAAATAACAAACAAAACGAGCCACTTAAAATCCATAATTATGTATGGACAAATACATATGTACTCATGTGTTAATGCTTCTGCTCATGGTTTAATTTCTTGTTTCACGTGGTTGTTGGTCGTGATCTTTTTTTTTTAAATGATGTTTAATGT